AAACTAAATTAGTATTGTATAATAAAACTAATAATATATGTGTTCATTGAAAAAAAATATTTTTGCAACAAATATACTATAAACAAATATGGAAAAATCCTGTCTAGCTTATAACTAGAACATTATTAGACCTAGAGCTTTGGCAAAAGTATACATCTAAAGTACAGGTGTGTCTGGGCCTATTTCATGGTCACTGTGACCTTTAATTTAAGTGATTTATTTTTTTTAAACTAAGTTTTTTAAATTCACAATTTCATCATCCTAAAAAATGTAAAAATATAGTTGTATCCTTATTAAAAGATGTTAAATTAAGCAAAAACTTATTTTTTCATTATATACTTTACAGCAATCTGTAACAAATGTTTATGCTTTGAGAGGAATTCATTTTGTCCCATGGGCTTGAATATCAAGCACAGGTTAAGAAGAATTTTGATAGCAGAAATTTGCATGTCAAATTAGAGAGAAATTAATGAGTTTATTGTCAGGAGCTAAGAGGTCTCTATAGATCTGATGCAGAGTTATCTTAATTTATCCCTTGAGAGTTGGGCAAAAAGAAATGGCCTCATGGTTGCTTGTGTTAATTAAGAGTTCTTGATGGCTAGTCCAAGATCTTTCAGTTGGTGTAATTAATTAAAACAAATTGATGTTGTAGTGTATGATTAAAACTAAATTAGTATTGTACAATATGATTAAAACTAATTATACATGTTCATTGAAAAAAAAATTATATTTCAATTTATATATATTTGCAATAATTTGCAGTCATGCCTCACTTAAAATGTTATAGTCTGAAGAATAATTTATGTTTGATTTTTGACTAGCATTTCCATTAATTCATAAAATATGCAATTAACAATTTTAAGCTGCAGATCGATGGATATTTGTTATGCTCTAACATAGTTTAGAAGTATATGATGTTATTATTTGTTATAATCAATCCCTACACTGTAAAGTCTCTTAGAGATGTATGATAAGAAATGGATATTAGATAATTGAAATTTGTGTCAATCTGTTAATCAAGGCTACCTGATTTTCATTCATCTTAACCAATTCATGATTATTGAATAATATTTGACGGGCGTATCATGCTGTGACGGGGCACTTTATTGAGTCTTGGCGCTCACATAGAAATGATTCCGGCAAAATAGTGAAAGCGTTACATGAAATGACTACCGAAGAGGTGAACTACTATCTTGGACGATTTATCGTTGAAACTAGAAAACAGGATGGACAGCCGTACCCCCTCGCTCACTGTACCTCATTGCGGACTCTTACGACACCTTCGAGACATGAAAGTGTATGTCAAAAACTTTCTGTGCACCAAATCGTTGGAGTTTTCTGAATATAGATATGTCACTAATATATTTATTCCAGACTCAAATGTTATTTTGATACAACGTCAATGTTGTTGATAATGTTTCAATTTAAAATTACATGTATATCATTGCCTGTTTCATATGGGTTGATGGACGATCGTATAGAGATTTCTCGTAATTTAGTCTACTTGTGAATAAGATCCGTGGACTCAAGGTATTTGGGATTGAATAAAATCCTTTCATTTCTAGGGTGAAGTAGTATGAATGTCTCAAGAAGGAAAATCAGCAAATTTAAGTCAGAAATATCTCTGGATATTTATTAATTTCTGATAATTGGAAATTAAATTCAAATCGACTTCTGAAATCTCTTCAAAGCAGTCTCCATCCATGACATTCTGTCACCGTAGTATGGTTTCATTTAGTTGTGATGCACAATCTTGATGCTGATTGTTTGTCTGTCTGCACTCCGTATAATAAATAATTAACCTTTTGTAGCACCAAACAAGGACCAAAAGTACTCCACTGCAGCTTGTGACTCTCCAGGTCAGTATTTGGACTTTCTAGTAGAATAGCAACCAGGTGACAAACTTTATATTGATTCAGGTTATATCGTTTATCATATCTATCCTTTTGTACTTGCAGAAAGTATTCTAGATTTTTCCTATCAATTTGACTTGCATGGTACATTCTCTGTCTAAGATTATATTCTACAGACAGCAGAATACCGCTATTATATAGCCAAAAACATGCAGAAATGCAAGACTGTGCCCTTCCACCTGCTGAAAAGAATGATGTCAGACAAATTATGGGTCCTGTGAAATTTGATAGGTTTCTAGATTTCTCCTACTTGCTTTTATGTTTTAGAAAGAGATATAACATAAAAATTGACTTCACGTTACCAGGTTTCTGCCTTTTTTTAAAAAAAGATTCTACTATGGAGTCAACCATACTGTTGCTATACCGTCAAACAAATTGTTGCTACTACCAACGTCCTCTCCTGTGATCTTGACTCTGAACCGAATTCTTTTGAAGAAATCCTTAATGATGTCTTCATTAGATGGATAAAAAGAAATCAATAACAGTGATAGACATTCCTTAAAGTGATTTAGGTACTTCCTTCTTGTTTTCATGCTGTATGTGTTCCATTATCTTCTGTGGGACTCTTTTCAAAAATGTTACAGGACTCTAAAAATCGAGTGAGTAAACACAGGTGCCCTATTGCTATCCGTTTTCGTCCGTCGTGTGTTAACATTTGAACATTTTCAGCTTCTTCTCTGCAACCACTGAACCAATTTCAACCAAATTTGGCACAAAGCGTCTATGGGTGAAGGGAAACAAAAATTGTGAATTTAATGATCCCTGTCCCCCTGGGGCCTGAGGGGTGGGGCCAAAACCACTAAAATTAATCCCATTTTTAACAAGAGGCCCACGGGCCTTATAGGTCACCTGAGCATCATGCAACAACTTTCAAATGATGAATTTGTTTCATGTTTTAAGCTAGATGCTAAGGCATTCACAATTTTGGAAGAGGCACTCTTGCTCATCATAACTATGTACTTAGTTAGTTTATTTAAAACCTAGGAGCAGAGATGAAGATTTTCAAAGATTTAATGCATTTTTATTATATAATCAATAGAGCCCAGCCCTAACACCAGAACCCCTGACCCTGGGGCCATAAAATTCACAATTTTGGTAGAGGCACTCTTGCTCATCATAACTATGTACTTAGTTAGTTTATTTATAACCTAGGAGCAGAGAAGAAGATTTTAAAAGATTTAATGCATATTCACTATATAATCAATAGAGCCCCGCCCTAACACCAGAACCCCTGACCCTGGGGCCATAAAATTCACAAATTTGGTAATGAGATCAAGCAGTCAAACTGTTTGCATGATTGTAATCAGCATTGAGTCCTCTACCAAATCTGTGAAATTCATGGCCCTGGGGTCAGGGGCTCTAGTGTTAGGGTGGAGTTAAATAAGTATATAGTGAAAATGCATTATTTCTCTGAAAATCTTCTTCTCTGCTCCTGGATATTGAATAAATCAACTAAGTACATAGTTAAGATGAGCAAGCGTGCCTCTACCAAAATTGTGAATTTTATGGCCCCAGGGTCAGGGGTTCTGGTGTTAGGCTGGGGCTCTATTGATTATATATAGTTAAAATACATAATTTCTTTAAAATCTTCTTCTCTGCCCCTAGGTATCAAATTAACTAATTAAGTGCATAGTTATGATGAGCAATGGTGCTTTTTTCCCAAACTGTGAATTTTATAGCCCCAGGGTCAAGAGTTCTGGTGTTAAGGGAGGGGGGATCTCTACTTGATTATACATTGTATAGTGAAAATGCATGAATTCTATGAAAATCTTCTTCTCTGCTCCTAGGTATCAAATAAACTAACTAAGTGCATAGTTATGATGAGCAAGAGTGCCTGAACCAAAATTGTGAATTTTATGGCCCCAGGGTTCTGGTGTTGGGGGGGGGGGGGCTCTATTGATTATACATTGTATAGTGAAAATGCATGAATTCTTTGAAAATCTTCTTCTTTGCCCTAGGTATTAAAAAAAACTAACTAAGTGCATAGTAATGATGAGCAAGAGTGCCTGAACAAAAATTGTGAATTTTATGGCCCCAGGGTCAAGGGTTCTTGTGTGGGGGGGGGGGGGGGGCTCTATTGATTTTATAGTGAAAATGCATGAATTCTTTAAAATCTTCTTCTCTGCTCCTAGGAATAAAATAAACTAACTCAGTACATAGTTATGATGAGCAAACATGCTTCTTCTAAAATTTTGAATTTTATGGCCCCAGGGTCAGGGGTTCTGGTGTAAGGGGGGGGGGGGCTCTATTGATTTTTATAGTGAAAATACATTAAATCTTTGAAAATTTTCTTCTCTTTCTCTGGGTATGAAGCAGATAAATTACCTAAATAGTTATGATGAGCATAGGCCTAAATCTTGCAGAATTATGAATTCAAGGCCCCAGGGTCAGGGGTGGGCTCTACTTATATACTGAAAATGAATAAATTGTTTGAAATCTACTCCTTTATATTTGATAAACATTTATTTATTTTTTGATGGGCAGTTTTAAGGGTGCCTTTTTAAAATTTGTGGAATATGTGGGGACCTAGGGTCAGGGGTTTATTTCAAAGTGTTAGGGGCACTACTGATTATTGCTGAATATTACTGATTAGTTGGAATGCAATATTGTTCCCCTACCCTGCGTTTGGGTATTCATTAACCAAGCTAAGCGACTGGTAAGTGTGTTGTTATGATAATCAATGGTGCCTCTTTCAATATTGTGAATACCATATAGCATCTGGCTTAAAACATGAATCAAATTCAATAACTGGAAAGTTGTTGCATAACGCTCAGGTGACCTATAAGGCCCGTGGGCCTCTTGTTTTTGAAATGATCATATTTCTAACAGTATGCTTTATCTTAGACCAGTCACGTTTTGAAAGTATTGGTTCTTTTGCAATTGCATTTAAGCATGCTAATCGACCAGGTGTACCGGTATGTCCAGATTTGAAATATTCAGAAAACTGGCGCTCAATGGAATTTTTCTCATCCTTTGACCAATGGTGTCGTCCACCATTTCTGTTTGTACCTTAAATATGAAATAATAATATATAAATCTCAATGGCTCTCTGTCTGTCTGTCTGTCTGTCTATCTATATATCCCTCTTCAGCAGATGCAGCCAGATGGTATGCACACCATTGCGGACTTCATCTCCCATGTACTGGACATGCTAACTGGAAAACATGATGGACGTAATGTTCGTAACTGCAAAAAGAAATTCCAGAGGTTTTCAGACATCTGGGTGACAGAAGATCCAGTTGCAGCACTAGTGTTTATTAGGAAAGGGCGGAAGAAAAGCAAACCCAACAAGGAAAATGAGAGTCCAGAGGCAAATCTTACCCCTACCCCGTGGTCTCTGTCCAAAGAGCAACTAAAGCTTGCCGATGCCAGAGCAGCATCTGTAACTTACAGTTCCGGCTATGACATCTCACCCGGACCCCACTTTTCAAAGCCTTGGACTTTACGTACCATGAATTCAAAAATACAGGTATGTTTTCTTTATCTTCATTATTTTTAAACATCTTTAAATTAAAAGGAATTGAAATTGTTTACCGGTACATATATTTACCAATGGTCGTAAACAAAGTTCTTGTAATTTACTAAATAAGGTATGCTATTAGTAGAGAACAATATTTTAGAAGTTCTGTGTGCATGTAAAATAATTGTAAAATTTGTAACAGTTTAATTTTTTCCTTTAAATCTTAAGATATTTTGAAATTTCCAGTAAAATTATGTTTGAGTTGATTCATTGGTTTTTGATACAGTTTGTAACCAGTGGGGCCCTTGCCTGGTGCATAAGGGTTTTTTTGCCGAATCAGCAAGAGGAAACACTGTTCATCATTGTGAACCTCATCAAGAGAATGGTCTCACCACAGCTGACTGAAGAAGACATTCCTTCTCTTCAGGAAGATGTTCACACTGGACTGGCAATGTTTGAGCGTGACTTTCCTCTCTCCATGCAGGTATTACTATTAATTGTTAATGCATTCACTTATCACAGAAATTTTCAACAAACATTTTATATGTATATTTAATTTATCAATGTGATATCCATGGCCATTTTTGTTTTGTACCAAAAGTTTAGTTACAGAACAGAACGTGTGCAAATGATTAAAAGAGCAGTGCAATTGTTTAATTTTCTTTTTTAAAAAAAATATATGATGAAATTTATAATATGTTTACATGAATTAAGAGATTTCTTTTTTACCACAGAACCTAGTCACACACTTGCTCCATCACATTGTGGATGGATTTTCTACCTTTGGCCCTTTGTATGGAAGATGGCTCTTCCCCTATGAAAGAGCCAATGGGTGGATTACAAGGCAGTGCCTGAAGAAGGGTGCAGAAGAGAGCACTGTTATGGAGACTTATGCTGTAAGTAATAAGACATGTTTCAGAAATTCTTATTTTACGTGTAACTTATTTAAAAAAATTCTAATTTTCATATTTAGGTAACACCATTTTTTTGGAGGACTCATCTTCTTTCTCAAAGTTGAAAATGATATACACTACATGAAATTCATAGATAGAAATGAAATGCACTGGTATTGCTTTTTTTAAAAATGTAAATAAAAAGAAAACATTAAAAATTAACAGGATTAAATTATTTTGTTGTAGGTTTACGAGTGGTGTATGTATATGGTTATGAGTGGACGATTCAAGCCAGCTAAAACAGAAAATCAGATATGGGACTCGTGCAGTGAGGAAATCACCTACCACTTCAATGTCGTCCATGGCAAAGAAATTACACTCACAGAAGGAATGCGGTGTCACATGAAGGACTTCTATCAAGCAGCATTCAAACTGAAAATTTTGTACTTTGGTGACATTGCAAGTGAAGTGAAAACATACAGTGCTGAAGGACGAAAGCTGATTTCAAACGACGTTGGTTCGATGAAAAACTGTTCAATCGTAAAAGTCTTCAATGGAGTTAACCATTTAGACATTCAGTTTGGTGAAGTGACTAGTTTGATAGAACACAATGTGAATTGTACTATACAGACTTGGGCGATTATTGACATGTTCCCATTGGCAGAAAGAGAAGGCGTTGTGTACATCTTTGAGAGGAAGGCCCTTTACCAAAGGATGTACATGTTGACTTGATTAGTGATCCAGTGGTATTCGTGAAAAAGGACAACTTCATTTATGTTTTGATGTAAATGAGATTTCATGATGAAATTTGTACTTGTACTTGAGTAGTGACACATTGGTTTTTGTGAAAAAAGACAATTTCATTCATGTTGTGATGTAAATGCGATTTCATGATGAAATTTGAACTTACATGTATTTGGTAACAGTATTCATCATCAATTTCATGGTTCGATGAAAAACTGTTCAATCGTAAAAGTCTTCAATGGAGTTAACCATTTAGACATTCAGTTTGGTGAAGTGACTAGTTTGATAGAACACAATGTGAATTGTACTATACAGACTTGGGCGATTATTGACATGTTCCCATTGGCAGAAAGAGAAGGCGTTGTGTACATCTTTGAGAGGAAGGCCCTTTACCAAAGGATGTACATGTTGACTTGATTAGTGATCCAGTGGTATTCGTGAAAAAGGACAACTTCATTTATGTTTTGATGTAAATGAGATTTCATGATGAAATTTGTACTTGTACTTGAGTAGTGACACATTGGTTTTTGTGAAAAAAGACAATTTCATTCATGTTGTGATGTAAATGCGATTTCATGATGAAATTTGAACTTACATGTATTTGGTAACAGTATTCATCATCAATTTCATGGTTCGATGAAAAACTGTTCAATCGTAAAAGTCTTCAATGGAGTTAACCATTTAGACATTCAGTTTGGTGAAGTGACTAGTTTGATAGAACACAATGTGAATTGTACTATACAGACTTGGGCGATTATTGACATGTTCCCATTGGCAGAAAGAGAAGGCGTTGTGTACATCTTTGAGAGGAAGGCCCTTTACCAAAGGATGTACATGTTGACTTGATTAGTGATCCAGTGGTATTCGTGAAAAAGGACAACTTCATTTATGTTTTGATGTAAATGAGATTTCATGATGAAATTTGTACTTGTACTTGAGTAGTGACACATTGGTTTTTGTGAAAAAAGACAATTTCATTCATGTTGTTATGTAAATGCGATTTCATGATGAAATTTGAACTTACATGTATTTGGTAACAGTATTCATCATCAATTTCATGGTCTTGATAATGAACAACTTGCTTATTTTCTAAAAAGGTGCAAATTATAGTTACAATTGCTAAAGACAGATGGTATTGAGTGTTGATCAAAAATATCTTTATGACATTTTTCATGTTTTGAAGAAGATCATGAGATTTTAAGCACAAAGAAAGTTGTTTATATTTCATACTTTGTGAGGTATATCATGTATGATTTAATGTATTTACATCCTATGAAATTAAATGATTGTGAAAAAAGTTTGTGTTGATATTTCTGTTGCTAATAAATCTCATTTCAAAGGATGCATTAATAATGGAAATGTTAGTAAAATATTCACATAAATATATCTGGTACATATGATTACATCAAATAACTTTAAAGTTCTAGGAACATTCCACAATATTGGAAGCAAAGTCCTCAATATTGTGTTTTTAATGAAAAGAAGGGGGATATCAAAGCTTGAAATTTTGATTCAACCTCTTTGACTGTAGGTCTCTCTTACAGGTGCACAGCATTATTTGTGATTAGGAAAGGGAATGAAGGAAGAAGAGTATTGAAGGTTTCTAAGATTTTTGACAAGATTTTTTTTCTTGAGGGATGACCTTTTAATTCAGAGGAGAAGGGGGGAGGGGATGGCAATTTTTTTTTCTCAAATCAGTTAATTTATTTTCATGTCATTGTAAATGACAAATTATTTATTGCCAATAAGATCAAGTACATTATTAAGCTCTTCAACAAAAAAGTCTGACAAACAAAAAAAAAGAAAGAAAGAAAACATAAAAATGGAATTCTCTAATTTCCGTTATCTGCCAGCCCCCCCCCCCGTAGAATCAAATGGTCGTCCCCGGTAACATTAACAGGGATTATGAGTATACTGTGTCAAAAATGGAGGGAGTGGGGCGGTCGTATTAACGAGGTGCATGCGTATATTTGAGGTATTGATGTACGTTGTTCTTGATTTTCCTCAAATTGTCATTTCTATTGACTTTTGGTAATTGTAACTCATCTCAACTTCTAATTGAAAAAAATGAATATGATAATCATAGATTCACTTTTGGCATAATTGGGACATAATTGATATGGAAAATCAAGAACCAGATTATTTTTCTAAAGAAGGGGGGGGGCATACATGTGAAACAAAGTAGACAATACTTTGATAGACAAGGCGCAGAATTTAGTTTTAAAGCTTGAATTTCATCCATGTGTCATGTTCTTAATTTTGAATTTACCGGGTGGGAGTAAATACAAAATTTAGAACATGACAACTTAAATTTTGTATTTACTCCCACCCGGTAAATTCAAAATTTACAACATGACACATGCTTTGTTTCAGGTCTTTTAAAATCTGAATAAATAAAAGGATATCAGGGTGTGGATAATTTTTTTTAATCTAATTATATGAATAATTAGCATTTGTTTATAATAAGCCTATCAACAATTAATTTGAAATCATTTTAGCATGAGCGCAGATTACTATCTTTTTTGGAAATTTAACAGAATGCATAAAAACAAAAAGATAGTTGTTTCCCGAAGTGAGAAAAAAAATTGAGTCGTGCCAGTTTTAGCTGGTTAGTCGAAAGAGAGAAATCAAAATTTTTCTTTTAGGAAGGTCTTACGAACTGTATTACATTTAGATAAACATTTTAATCGCCCTTTGAAGTCTCCAGTAAAGATTGCTTGATAACGGGGGGAAAATAATCTGAGAAACGGTTAAAAGTGAAATAGTCTCTCTCATTCACAGCTGGTGATAATAAAAATACTTGAAACATGGGGCTTAACAATGCACACGTAGTTAATGCAACAAGCAAATTCAAAGAATTGTGGTCCCCCGCTTTCGGTTTCTTTGTAGATGAGATGTTATTTTTTATGACACATTGTGTCTAATATGAACATCCTATCATGTTATTTATTTAGAAATTATCATTGAAGTTGATTTTTTTGGAAGGATGAAAACCCTAATCCTGACCGTTAAAAAGTTATGGCCAAAGTAAAAAAAAGTTTTTTTAAAAAGTAGGTAAACTCCAAGGTCAAGATCAAAAGGTCAAATTTATTTTTATTCAATTAAAGGTTTTCTCATAAGGATTAAATATGTGAAGTATGAAAGCCCTAGCCCTTACTGTTCAAAAGTTATGGTCAATGTTAAAGATTTTTCATAAGTATGTAAATATTTAAGGTCAAGGTCAAAAGGTCAAAGTTGTTGATATCCACTGAAAGGACTTGCCATAAAGAATACATATATGAAATATAAAAGTCCTAGTATCAACCGTTAAAAAGTTGTGAACAAAGTTAAAGTTTTTTAAAAAGTAGTTAAAACTCCAATATCAAGGTCAAAGGGTCAAAGTTGTTGGTATCCAATGAAAGGTCTTCTCACAAGTATTACATATGTGAAGTACGAAAGCCTTAGTCCTCGCCGTTCAAAAGATATGGTCAAGGTTAAAGTTTTTTCATAAGTACGTAAATCTCCAAGGTCAAGGTCAAAAGGTCAAGGTTGTTGGTATCCAATGAAATGTCTTGCCACAAGAAATACATATGTGAGATATAAAAGTCCTAGTATCTACTGTTAAAAAGTTGTGACAAAAGTTAAAGTTTTTTAAAAGTAGTTAAAACTCCAGGGTCAAGGTCAAAGGGTCAAAGTATTTAGTATCCAATTAAAGGTCTTTTCACAAGTATTACATACGTGAAATACGAAAGCCTTAGTCCTCACCGTTCAAAAGTTATGGTCAAGGTTAAAGTTTTTTCATAAGTACGTAAATCTCCTAGGTCAAGGTCAAAAGGTCAAGGCTGTTGTTATCCAATAAAAGGTCTTGCCACAAACAATACATTTGTGAAATATGAAAGTCCTAGTACCTACTATTCAAAAGTTATGGCCAAAGTAAAAGTTTGGAATTTTTGTGTAAAAGTGGGTCAAACTCCAAGGTCAAGGTCAAAAGGTCAAATTTGGTGGTACCAAAAGAAAGGTTTTGTCACAAGGAATACACATGTGAAATATGAAAGTCATAGCTCCACTAAATCAAAAGTTATGGGCAAGGTTAACGTTTTTGTGACGGACAGACTGACAGACTGACAGACTTACAGACTGACGGACAGACGAATGAGATTTAATGTCCCCTCGCTTTCGCGAAAGCGGGGGACAAAAAATAAGTTGTTGCAATATAAATACGCTATAGCGCAGCCGCTGAATAGAAATGGGTTTTCACGTCTCCATAAATGAATAAATATTACTCAGTTTAATTAATAAATAAACATATGTAGATAGAAAGATAATTAAATAAATAGATAAATAAATAAATTACTTACGTATTTACTTGAATAATTAATTAATTGAGTAATCAATCAATCAATGTTTGAAGAGAAATTAAAATAAAAACTCTATTAACGATTGATTTTCAGAGAAAACAGAATGAAATAATTAAATGAGGAACTTTAATGCATCTTCGGGAAAAAGAAAGAAATTGTAAATAAATTGCAAAGGAAATACGATCATGTTTTCGGAATCTGCAGCACCGCATAATTAAAATATATTTTTTTCTAATTATTGGATCACTAGGAATGCCTACATGAAATGATGTCGCTGATTTCAAAAATGTTTTATCACTTGTAGGAATTTTTCATTTCAAATTATTTTTGCGACATTATATATTGTGATGACAAGTTTTCAACACGTTCTTAGAACTTTAAGAGTGGTATCTACATGTAAATGAAAACTAGTCGCTTTAATATTTAAAAAGTCCCAGTGACTTCATTATAACCAAGTTTGCTGTACGCAGTGCAACATAAATGCACCTTTTAATTTTGTTTATGTTCTTATATAATTTGTACAGATAGACAAGAGATGACAAAAAGAATTTCGAAGCTTTTGTCCTCAAACAGTGAGAGAATAAAGAAGTGTCTCAAAGAATTTAATACCAACTTCAGTAAAAGTATTTCCCTTGCCGAAGTCAGCATACAGTGCTGCTATCCTATAAGTTGACAATTCTATCCTATCCTATCGTGAATCCTGCATCCACAATCCTATCCTGTGATTTCAGTCTAATCCTATCCTATCCTATCCTGCAACTCTCAGTTTTTTAATATTTAGGAATTAATTTGACAAAACGAAAAAAAAAAACAAACAAAACGGAATGACCACCAAAAAAAAGCAGATATAGTTATGGTATTCTTTTAAGTGTTACATATTTTAATGGATAAAAATAATCGAGATCGACATTCCATAATTCCTGACACACCGCACATTTTAAATTTAGGATTATCATTACCGTGTTAAAAATAAATGTAAACAAACAGATTGTGATAAAACGTGGGCAAGTACTGATTTTGCGAACATCTGTAAAGAATTTGGGCATCCAGAAGAAGGAATTAACGAAAAAAATATAACTTGACTTTGTTTCAATTTTACTACTCACAATGATCGGGAGACATGGCCACAGGATCGCGACGTGCTCCCAGTGTGTTATAATTTATTATTTAAAAAAAAACATAGGTCTCTACGGTAATAATGTTTAAGTATATGTTTCATGTAAAATTTTATTTTTCCTAAACC